TGGTAAAAGGGTAGTTTATAAGAGTTGAAAATGGCAAAAGTAAAATATTCTTTCATAAACAATATAAGGGAAAAGTTTTATTTTAAATTATTGCACGATTATAGCATTCCAAGATTTAAAACATAATTTTTTATAATTTTTTTAGCATAGGGGTGATTTATAAGGGTTGAAAAGTATTACAAATTCTTTCATAAGCAACGAGGGAATTTTTACTTTAAATAATTGCACCGTTAAAGCATTCCAAGCTTTTAAAAAGTAATTTTTTATCATTTTTGTCAATACAGGGGTGGTTTTTAGGGGTTGAAAGGGAAAAATTCTTTTATTGGCTATAAGGTAACTTTTATTTTAAATAATTGCACGATTTAATCATACCAAATCTGTAAAAAGTAATTTTTTATCATTATTTTTTGCATAGGGGTAATTTTTAAGGGTTATATAAAGGTCGAAAAGATGAAATCTATCATAAAACATGTTCGAGAATATGGAACATTATTTATTTTTATCAATAAAGTGCTTAAAACAATCACTTAGGGGTAGTTTTTACCCCTAAAAAATAAAAAACGTCAATTGGGCTTATGTCACTTTTGAATTTGAGCCTAAGATGAGGCTTTTTCTAAATTTTCATGCAAATCCATGCAGTTTCAAAGAATTCGGAGGTTACAGCTGATTTTCAGCTTCAATGACTGTACTATACTGTAAGTGAAAATATTAATTTCAGATTGTCGCTTCTGGGAAAGACGGTATACAACTAAGAGAAATGGAATAAACATAAGTTAAATCTACATATATTGACGTGAATTCTTCACATAAAAATTTTAATCACATAATTCCCCAACAGCACATCAGTAGCAAAATTCAAATCTTACTCTCCATAAACGCACCGGTTGCTATTTCCGCAACAAAGTTGTAGAGAAATTGGGCTAATGCATGTATTAATTCAGAAATGACCCGGTTTGCATCTAGACACTTCGGCTAACTTGATTTGAGTGGAGATGCCGAGCTCAACCTGCTGCGGTGTGCAATGACGTTATACGGCTGTAGAAATCTGGCACAGTGCAACTCTGAATGATTGAATGGTACACCTGAGGGCTACTGAATATTGTAATTCGAGATGAGGTAGTCTAAGCTCGACGGGAGTCGAGCAAGGCGGAATTCGAGTCTGTAGTTAGTTAGATTGTTTGGTAACTGGCTCGTTTATTTACATAGAGACCGCCATTTTTGGATTGTTATCTTCAGGGGGGTACAGACGCAACAGCTCATATCAGCAAGCTATGTAGGCAGTCAAACACTGCGATGAGATTAACAAGACTTTTAGTCCACAGTATAGGCCCCCTCTGGAAAGTTGATTACCACATGCTTTATAACTCCTGAGGAGCTTCGTTTTGACGAAAATATTTCGCACCGTTTGGAAATTTTCATAAAAATGTTATTTAAAAAACTTTATTTTGTCGCTCTGTATCTCGAAAACAAGAGGAGATAAAATATAGTTCATTTGACAAAAAATTGTTATTTTTTGTCGTCCTCACCCCCTGTGTTTACGGGAGGTCTTTCTGAAACACCCTGTATTGTATATTTATATGGAATTTTGCTCAATACATGAAAATACTAATTAGAAATTATAAATACATGCGCATTTTTTACGAAATTTTTTTCATAATTTTTTGTCGGACCGGCGATTTGCAGATATATTTTTGTCGGACATTACAATTTTTGCTTATAAAAAACACTTTTCTATCGTGCGTTACTTTTATCCAACATGTGGTAATCGATTTATCATACCCCGTGAAAATTCCGATTTCCAGCTGTCGAACTGAAAAAACGCGGCTTGAAATTTGTCGGACAACAATACTTTTTGACTGAATTAATTATTTACAAATAATTTTACTAAAATTTACCTATGTGGTAATTGATTTTCAATACCCTGTTATTTTGGCATGTTTCGACCGGTAGACACGTCAATGTCGGAAACATTTCTGTCGGACAAACTTGAATCGGCATTTGCAACAAAATTTCCAGTTAATTAAGCTAAAAATAAAAGATGTGGTCTTGACTTTTCAAGACCCCGGGAAATTGCCATGTGGAGAAGCGGAGGAATCGAGAAAAGTCGCAGAGGAAAAATGTGGTAGACTCGTCAAAACGAAGCTCCTCAGGAGGTATAAAGTATGTGGTAATCAACTTTCCAGAGGGGGCCTGTACTGTGGACTATTTAACAAATGTTGATTTTTCATTATAAAATGGCTTTATAATAATAACTTACTTGTACCAGTATGGTGGCCCTAATTATCTCTCGACATTTTCGATTTTTTTTTTAATTATTTTAGGTTTTTTGTCATACAAACGGATTTTCAAGGATTTTGGATCTGTTCCCTTTAAACGAGTTTCTTATTAAATCTCTCTAAACATGTTGTTAATTCCCATTTCTGTACAATAACTGTGAAACTAACAAAATTTATATTTTATAATGATAATGGCAATAATATTATTAGGTACTTACTTTTTTAGATTAATCGAATGATTTATTTTATACTGTCGCTTTCCATCATTTTTCCATGGCGTTTCGGATATTCGGCCCCACGTTGGGCGCCATGCCATCTTTGGCACAGTTTTGAATAACAATAAAACTCACAACTTTTAGGGATATTTATAAAATTCCTACAAATAACAACCAAATTATGGATAATTAAAAGAATGCTGTTTTCCACGTTTTTTATAATTTTTTTGCAATAACTTTTAAACAATTTATCCGATTTTAATCTATCATCTTGTAGGTCTTTTTATTGCGCATATTTCGTATGTTGAACACTTTTCTCTAAAACAAATAGTTTTTCCAGTATATTGGAAAAACTGTTTTTCGACGCAAATTGTTAAAAAAAACAATGTTGCTAATGAAAAAAATGACTCACGAGATGAGACACCTTTTCTACTGCTTTCCCCTGCCCATTTACTGCTATAGCGACGCGTCTAGATGTCGTCTGTTGCGGCTTTGGTGTTTGGGGAAGGCTGGCAGGTTTGCGACAACTTTGACGGAGATTTAGGAAACTTTGTCGAAAATGTTGATTGGCCTCGTGTACAGCGATTGCGGACAGCTTCGTGGTTCCTATTGGAAAGTTAAGCGAAAATTTGCTTGGGACTTGGAATACGACAATATTGTATGTAATCAATTAGTTACAGAAATCTAGAAATGTTCCTTTGTAATTAATAACTATGTCCAACGAAAAGGACTGCTTTTGTCTCTAAAGTTAATATTTAAAGCTGCAAATATTCAAATAGCAATAACAATGTTCTATTCCTTAATGTCAATAATCCTTAAGAGCAATATTATGTTCCGTAATGTTAAAGTACATAACAGTTTCTTTCGGTAACTTTTTTTTGTTGGAGACTGATTGGTTAACTCAAAATTAATTCTTTCTCGGTTATTTCTACAAGTTTAACTTTCCTGTTTCTATTACTGACAGCCTTTTTCAATATTTTTGCGTCTTTGTTCATTCAAATATCAAAACTAAACCGTTATGTCTCTACAATCTACAATAAAGCACAAAATACAAACAAGTAACGCTACAGTGTCGAGAATAGTCTGTGGTTCTTTGCAAAACAGAAGATTTTGCACTTTTATCCGACGTAAGTTAGAAATAGTTTCTTTATCACTTCTGCGCATCACCACAGATGAAAAAAAATTCGACATGTGCGACTACAGTTTGGAAATAGCAGAAAAATAAAAGATTCTAGAGGCTGAAATAGACTGCAATTTTAAAAGTAGCAAATTTCGCAACTATGAAAACTTATTTAACTTAAAACTTATTAAAATATCAATATGTTATGACATTTTCGAAAATATGAATGAGAGTGACTTTAATTTTGGTAATTCTGTAATGAAAATGCTTTGACGGAGGGGTAAATACTAAGATGAAAGAGAGACAAGTTTATACTTCTCTTTGTTACCGAAAAAAGAAGAAATAGTAAAGAAAATAATTTTGGTGTCAATGTAGAAATTCTACCACTGAATGAAAATTAGTAGAGGGACCTTTATTGACTAGACCCCAGGCATTTGCCCATTTTGTCTGTGGATAACCCGCTACTGATAACATCGTAGCACGCCCTACACTTTTCGAGGAAAACAGCCGAAAAATCTGACGACAAGCATCTCCGTTTGATCTCTTCTCCTTTCGCTCTAGGCCAATGCGATTCAATTTGTTAATAACGATAAGACTATGGAGACAGAACCAGAGCGTTGCGTTAACTTAAACAACTTAATCCGCGATTTCTCGTTTAGCTCCGGCTGGGTGATACCGGCCTGATAATACCACCAGGCACTTTTAATTGCAGTCGGGACGGATGCGACAGCAAACAGTCTTCCATTATCCCAGACGCGTCTCCGTAGGCTGACAAACAAGGCGCAGACGAGGCATAAACACTTCCGAGTTGTTGTTATTGGTTATGAAGGATATAGTTGGCTATCGAAATGTTCGAAGGTGTGGAGAAATTTCGATTAACTCCCAATAAATTCATAGATAGTTCGGTCAATCTAGACATTCAAAGGTACATAAATTTACAACAAGCTGAAAGTGAGTAAAGTTGTTGCATATTAAATAGCATATTAAAATTCCTCATCGTTCCGGTAAAAAATGGGTTTTTCGCGATTTTCAGCTAAACGGTAACTTTTATCATAAAATTACTTCAGACAAAGATTGTAGATCATAAAATTATAATTGTAATACTTTTTTTCCTAAGAGCCACCGTTTCTGAGATATAACGATTCAAAAAGTTGTAAAAGTTGTAATCGTCATAATATGCACTCATTTCCACGCCACCTATGAGGTAGTGTACTTATCGCGTTTTTTAACGTGGTTTACCCAGTAGGCCTATTCCACAGGTCTGTTGTGATTCTGTTTAGTTTGAAACTATTGCATAATAACAGATATTGGCAAGGGTTGGAAATGATAAAAGCGATGGAAATTAAAAAAAAGTAGAATTTATTCGTCTGATTCATGACCTTCAAATACTTCTTCTTGCTCTCCTTCTTGATCTTCTTCTTCTTCTTCATTCTGGGTATAAGTAAATTGCGTCAATAGTGATGTATCGCATGTCTCCTCGTTGGTATCAAACGAATCCTCTACTATTGGTGATTCAACAGTAGAACACGACCGGCCTTGACAATTTTACCTGATATTCTCATAGGTATACTTATGTATATTTTATATTTTAAGTGTAAATTACAATCACGGATGGAAAAATATTTTTACTTATATTACAGCTTCAGAGATGTATATGTGGCGTACTTATGCATATTATGACGATTATAACTTTTACAACTTTTTGAATCGTTATATCTCAGAAAAGGTGGCTCTTAGGAAAAAAGTATTGATAAATTTTTTATAGATAATTTTATGACCTACAATTTTTGTCTGAGGTAATTTTATGATAAAACTTATTGTTTGTTTATTAGCTTGTTAGTTAATTAGTCTTAGTCGTAAGTCTGTTTTGCATTTTGTTAACAGATAAGTCAAGAAAGATGATGTCAAAAAAAAAAAATAATAAAAAATAAGTCACGTCAAACTTCATCGGAGTTATTATTTTAAAACATAGATTAATTAATTCATCCTGAACCAGAAATACAGTCCACAAACAATTTCAAGAAGTGAATCAAGAATCCAACATATGGTCCATCGACCCTGGATGAATTAATTAGTGATTATTGGTGAATTTGTGTTTTGCGTAAAAGCAGAAATCGGAGGCGGAGAACTGCACGTGGATACGCTTTATCCCGCATAGCAGTAAAGTTGCACGTGGATACGATTTATCCCGCATAGCAGCAAGTGAAAACGCCGAGCAGCAGTTGTAGTTGCACGTGGATACGCTTTATCCCGCATAGCAGCAAGTGAAAACGCTGAGCAGCAATTGGTTCAGCGCTAAAACAAACAGCAAAGAAGGCAGAGATTGGTTGTTGGATTTCGCTGCCTGAGAAACACACTCTCGAGGAGATTCCGTCCACTGGTGGCAAGGAAAGCACGAGTTCCGGTGCAGCACGGAAGAATAACATAGCGTATAGTCAGCGCAATTCCTTAATTTCATTCCTACTGTGAGTTTGTTCCATTTTATACATAAATCACACATTTGTTCGTTGTTAATCGCTCTTGTGCATTATATTGTGTAGAAAAGTATTCAAAATGGCAGATGAAATAAAACAACTCATTTCTAAACGAGGCATAATCAAAAGCCAACTAACTCGCTTTAAAAACTATCATGAAAAGCTAAGTAGTGAATCATTAAATGATAATTCTATATTTCAATTAAATGCTCGTCTTGAAAAGTTAAATCCATTATGGGATGAATACAAGACTATTCAAACAAAAATAGAGTCTCTTTGTGAAACCCTAGACAGAAGTTTAGACGTTGAAATGACAGAACGTGAAAATTTCGAAAGTTTGTATNAAAAAAAAAAAAAAAAAAAATAAGTCACGTCAAACTTCATCGGAGTTATTATTTTAAAACATAGATTAATTGATTCATCCTGAACCAGAAATACAGTCCACAAACAATTTCAAGAAGTGAATCAAGAATCCAACACTTATCGTTTAGCTGAAAAACCCATTTTTTTGACCTTTGACCTCGAGTAAATTTTTTTCCAAGTACCGGAACGATGAGGAATTTTAATATGTTATTTTTCATTATGTTTTAAACAATTTTACTCACTTTCAGTTTGTTATAAATTTATGTACCTTAATTTTTTGGTCTAATTTGACCGGACTAAGATTTCATATTGCATATTGAACAAGCTAATGAGAAATTAACTCTATTAACTGGGATTATTTACTGTTAAACTCCAACAAATGTAAGCTAGTATATTCTGTAAAACGACAAGCTTTTCTTATATTCTATAATTGCCTCTAAATATGTGCTCTACTACTTTTTTGTACTACTTTTTTCCAGTTTTAACCCTTATCTGGATTATTTTAATTCTAACTACTAGTTTTTAATCTACCCACCTATGTCTTTTATTTTATAATTATTTAGCACCTTGTAACTGTTATACCATATTTATTAGCATTATGTTGGGTTGTAATCAATAAAAATCATTAATATAAATAAATAAACTTAAAAGTTTAGGTCCTGGGTTCGAAACTCAGTTACAAAATTCATTCTACGTCTCGCCCGTCCATATTATCCAGCATTTATTAACAAATCATAGGACGTCCTTTTTGGAAACTTCACCGCCGTGTTTGGAATGTGGAAGTAGACCTTGGAGTCCCAGAAGTAATGAAGTTGGAAGGGCATCTCTACTTAAGAGGGGTATATTAAAACGTAATTTAAATTCGGATCCGTTAGGTGATGCCTCGAGCAAACTTCTTTAGTGGGAATCAGGTCGGTATGAAGAAAAGAACTTCCAGGTTATTAAAAAACATCTTGGGCTCAGGGTACCCTTCTACCAATATTCATTTAAGTGTAATGTACGGGGTGTAACAAATATTCAGGTCTGAATTGATCCGAAACACAGTGGCAGCGTTACCAGGCCGAAACACCACTTACTTTTAAAAATTATATTCATAACTTTACATAATTTTCTTCAACCGTCACAAAACCATGACATATTTTGATTCAAAAGTGTCTAACATTTTCCTTACTGAGAAAAAAAATGGTATATTAGAAACAAAAGTAGGTATTCACTTTTAATCCTAGGAGCTAAAGTTGACACTTTTAATACTTAGATTCAGGAGTTTGATAAACAAGACTTTTAAGATGGCCCCGAAGACAAAAATCGAGAGAATTAAGATCGGGACACCGAGGTAGCCACGGAAAAGGACTGCCAAATGTGGCAACGCTGTCAAAGATGTCTAAAATGAGTTACTTTAATTGCCCAAATTTCATTGTTGTCATGGTAACGACTTAGAAGTTATAATTGGAATTTGTTTAGAAACTTCTCTCTTTGAAGGCGAATAATTTCACAACGAAGTCCGATAGGAAAAAAAAATTATGAAGTACTACAACTATTTTGAGCCCTCCTGTAGGTATACCCCTTTATTTTTGACATGACCTTTCCGGACACCCTGTATAAGTTAATTGTAGCTTTTGCTTTGAGAAAACTTTCTGATTTGTTAATTGTATGGAATAATCCCTTAGAAAGGGAGAATCCCTCATATTCCTTGAACATTTGTCCCATCAAAATTAAACCAAACCACGACGAAACCCTGCAACTCTCCTACCGACATATGAATTTTACATTTTATGCAGAACAGACGAGATAACACGAAATTGCTTAGTTACTGCGAACGGGAGTATAAAAGAGAATAGCCGGTAAACTGAAAAATTTAAATAAACAAACAACAGTTGAAGCGGAAGGAAAAGCTCTTAGCCCGGGGTCGCAGCTCCTTGGCGTAGGTTTTTCGCCTCGCATCGTTACGACAACAAGGTCGACAGCGATGATGTGATAAATTTCCTTGTTACAAACCGGAGTCGTCTTAACAGTCTCGTGAACAAAAGGAACTTGGGAAAGTTCAACAATGTGTTGAAACAAATTGATTAATTTTGTTAAATTCATTAAATCTAACGAAGCATTTTTGTAAATATGTACAAAACATAAAAATATATTCTGTACAAGGTGATTTGTTTTATTAAGGCACAAACAGCAAAGTGAACATTGCCAAAAGTAGGTACTTGACTACTGGCCAGGTACTCTTCAGCTACAAGTGGTCAAAGTCGATGTTCGATCGCGTCTCTAACGGGACCGCTTTGAAACCTGAGTGATCTTCCGCACGATGTCAGACTGGAACCCTGGGGCGAAAGTTGAAGTAGCTGGCATCTTCATACTCACAAACTTCATTTTACATACTTTTTAATACCCTCATCAGGAAATTTCCTATAAACAACCACTCCACAGTTCTTCTACCAACAACAGACATAAATAGGCAACATTCCAGTTTTACGCTTTATTTAATAGTCACTATTTTACACCGCTGAATTCCATGGCTTTGCTGTATCAGGCATCAGGATTCATTTCCCGGGATCAGACTGTGGCCGGGCTGGTTTCGATTAACGTGCGTTTTCCCGCTCTCTGCTTCCCGATCTCCCACAGGAGTCGTACTGTGAACGCGCGATGGAGGAGATAACTGTAACAAGAGATTACGACGCAACGACTAAAATTGACCTTTCTAAAAATACCGGATACATGTTAAGGGCCAAAAACTAATGGTGCCGCTCGCTCTCACCCTCATCTCGTTTCCTGGAAATTTAGATGGGACTGTGCGTTCGCGGGTCGTTGTCGGGAATAACGGTTTTTCGGTGGGAATAAAAAAAAATCGTTATTAGGTTTTGAAAACTTCTTCGTCATGTGTTGTATGTAATGTTTATAATGTTATCGTGAAGAATTGTCATCTAGGCCGCCGTTACCGGTGGTGGAAACTCGAAATATTTGGAATTATTTAATGTTCATGGCTGAAAATATATGTACATATTGAATTTTCAAAACCGAGAGAGATGCTATAACCAAATTTGGACACAACATAGCTAATACAGCGCGAAACATCGCCTTACTATTAGAAATATTGTCACCTCCGTTCTTGGTGCCGAAAATTCGAAATATCTGGAATTGTTCAGTTTTCCTGGCTGAAAACATACATATTGAATCCTCGCAACCGAGATGCTAAACATCGCATTACTGTTAAAATGTTGTCACCGCCATTACTGGTGGTCTTAATCTTTTACTCTTTATTAGATTTCAGCCAAATGCAGACAAATGAAAAATACACTTAATCACAATTAATTGAAATTTCGAAAATCAGTCTCCTTTTGTTTATGAAATGACAATTCTTCTTAATTAATTTGACAGTTTAAATTTGTTGTTTATCTGCTTTCATAGCTTTCAATATCATATACATCATATTTTATTAATATTTATACTATAAAAAGTAGATAAAGCAATTTGATACACTTTATTCACCGTTCATGAAATAATCGCGGTTTCTTTTAATTTTCCTTGTACAAAATTTTAGCCAATCCAAGCATGCTCACAAATTTTTAATTTTAGTAATTTCGGCTTTTTTAAACATT